CTTCATCAATCAATACACCTTTTAGTTTCACACATTACTTATACACACTCTATCAATATTTTATATGTTATTTTATCTGTCTGATGTTTATCTATGCCTATTATGTTATTACTTATATTATTTTATTCACAAATCCAGTATTTATACATTTTCACTACACTTCATCTATACATTGTTATTAAAATTAAAATTAAAATTGAAATATGATTATAGATTATAGAATTAGTATATACAACAAACCAATGTATGTTATATAAATCTTAACAACTCACGCACAGGCAATCTGCCTTAGTGAGTTTTGCGGTTTATTGAAACTCAATTTCTGAATCCATATTGAATTTTATACAAAATTGTACTTTTTCAATAAACTATATATTATTATTATTATTATTATATATGTGGTTATCCAATTGTTGATTGTTCGAATGTTATTCAATCTTTCAGAAGAACGCGACTCATTTGAAAAAATTAATAACAAAAAGGCCGTTTCAAATGATAATTATGTGTATGTATTAAATGGGCAACTTTTGGTTTGATTGGAAATGACCCCCCTCCCCCCTATCACCCCACTTCTGTTGATCCGTGACTTATTATGGGATTGGTGTTCGGAAACATGAGTATGAGAGTGAGTAAGATAATATTATGTCACTATAATCACGGCTATAATCATGACAGGTCCTAAATGCGCATGATTCATGTTCTCCAGTTCGATATTCTTTCTCATAGTTTATTATGTCAGTATTTTCAGTTGAGATGTTTATTCCTCATGTCGATCATTGCAATGAATGATACCTACGTCAATTTGCATCAAGGGACCCAAAAATTGTGATTAGGAAATGGTGACGTGTGAGACTGCAAAATGGAAATTGAGTATATTCTTTTTTTTTTGTTTTTAGAATACTACGTTTTTATGTGAATATTTCAACACAAAAATTTTGAAGTGAGGGCAAGGCTGCACGCGGGGTTCGAGACGCTCCAATTGACTTGATTGATTGATTGATCGATTGATTGATTGTCTTTATTACCCCAAGGAACATTATTGTTTATAGTAGGGATATAATATAATACCATATCAAATTCAATTTTTTGATCAAATGAGTCCACGATCATTGTTCATCAATATAAAGACCTAAACATTTTGTTACATCTGTATATATTCAATGGATTTGTTATTGAAACATATTGGAGTATTATTCAATATGTCCGTTGTTCTTCTTGAGATGTATGTACAGGGCTAGTTTTATTAATGTGATCCCCCCCTTTCAAAACCCATTCAAAAAATTTCAAAACTGATTTGATACAAGTTTTCACACAGATTCCACTCATTTTGACAATGATGCAATATCTATTCAAATATACAGGGTATACAGAAATAAAAATATTTTTCAAATGAAATCTATCAAAATATACAGTGCATTCCATATGAAAAAATCAATATATTTCTGTATACCCTGTATATTTGAAGAGATATTGGAACACTCTCTCAATATGATTGAAATCAATATGAAATATCGTAAAAAAATCAGTTTTGAATCTTCTTGAATGGATAAAACAAATAAGAAGATGAAGGAAGGTTCAACATTAATAAAACTAGCCTTGTACAGCAACGAACATGTCGCAGTTGGACGGTATGAGCGCTCTTATTGCAGCGGTGATCAAGGGAGCTGACACCGTCCATGTGCGACATGATCTCTGAAGACGACTGTACATCATATACGTAGATTTACTATAATTTAGAGTCAACTTATTGGTCGTTTGCCAAGATGATATTTGATTCAAATCATCTTTATATCATTATTGACATCGTTAAAATCTTTTGAAGCATATAGATTAGTGTTGTATCATCTGCAAATAATCTCAGTTTTTTTTCAATTTTGAAGTAGATATTGAGTTAATGTAAATTAAAAATGAAATTGGCCCCAAAATTGACCCTTGTGGTACACCACATTTAACGGAACTACAAGTATTATTGGGAGGCACGAAATGTGGGCCGATCGAAATGTAAGTGTAACGAAATGTGGGCATAGAGCAATTAATGTTGCTGTCGATAGGCCCACAATGACAGTTTAATTGAATTCTGGTATATAAAATAGTATTTGGCAACAGTGCCTCCTTCGGGTATGTTCGGGGACTGTGGGGCTAACGAAATGTGGGCATATCGAAATGTGGGAACAACGCAATGTGGGAGTAATGAAATGTGTGCATAAAGCAGTGCACTCTTCTGTAGCAACTTTGAGCCCTCCTGCAGTGGGACTCTGTAACTCAAAGCGAAAGCGAAAGCATGCGTAATCGACTGCTTTTGCGGTTTCGGTACTCTGTATCAATATTCGGATGAGGTCGGAGACGCCGAACGTGAGTTCGTAAGCGAAGCAGAAGCGAAGGATTTTGGTTGCCGCTTTCTCATCGCTTTCTGCGATTCTCAACGATTGAGGTTATAGGTATAGGTCGCGTGCAAGAACTGTCAGATGACCGACCCTGGAGGCAAAACATATTTGTTTACAAGTGATCGAAATAGTTTTCCACAATTATTTTGGCATAAGAATCGTATTTTCCCGCTATTCATCAATTCGCTAATGCCATCACATTGTGCTGTTGTAAAATGCACAAAGACTGCAGCAAAAGATGAAGAAATCCGGATGGTACATTATGATTCAAAAGTAAGTACCTACTATAGTCACTCACATAGTTTTCATTTTTGAAATTTGGTTATTTCTCTGATTTCTCATCGGAATTCCTTCTGCAATAGGATCAGCTAATAGAAATATACCTGAAATTTCTAGAATAATGCAAGAAGATTGAATTCATGCAATCAATCGGTATAGGACTGGTCTGACATGCTGACGATCGTGTGTGTTGTAGACATTTAATCTATTAGCAGCATTAGCTTGTATTGCAGAAGTGGCAGAAGGCAGAAGGAATTTTAATAAGGAATGACAACATTTTATAATGATAACTATGTGAGATTACTATTTACCTGAAAAATCATATTCCCTAGTCTCTTGCTGCATTTTTTGTGCATTGTACAACAGCACAATGCGAAGGCATGCTTGAATTAATGAATAACGCAAGAAACACGATTCGTATGCCAAAATATTGTGAAAAACTATTTCAACCTTTTGATTCCTCTGTAACCAAATAAAAAAGTGAGGTTGTGTTTCAATAATTCACAGAAGAATGAGGTTGTGTTTCAATAATTCACAGAAGAATGAGGTTGTGTTTCCATATTTTGCCTCCAGGGTCGGTCTTCGTGCACGCGACCTATTGGTTTTTGTTGTTGTTTCTAGTTCGAACTTTGTGTTGATTTGAGAAAAATAATAGATTAATAAATGAGGAAGGAACCCAAACATGGATAACAAAGCGAGCAAAAACACAACTCAATCAGTGGGATAGATTCCTCAGTTTTACGAACAAAATCCTAAAGATATTCCAGAGAGATGGAAGTTCCCTTTGGTAGGATTAAGGTAGGGGATGAAAGAACGTGAGACGCTGAGACGTGAGATAAAAAATATGATAGACAGTGTGATGAAAACATACAGCTCATTTGGTAGTTGAAAAATAAACTGAAAACTGTCATTAGTGCTGTTGAATAGGGTCTGGAATAATTCATATTCATTGGAATTATCCTTCTCTTTTAGATTCCTGATACATCAAAACAGGCAGATAAAATAAGTAGCTTCTCCAAAAAATGAAATGTGCCATTACTGAATGTTGTCTCACTGAATCCTTGTTAAGAAAAATATGTCTTTGGTGTGAGTCCATTGAAGAAGACAATAATAGGTAATTAAAGAATCCTACTAATATAATATGCCGATACCTACAACAGTGAAACATAACAGAAAGCCTGGAACGTTCAAATTTGAAAAATTTGCATAATAAGTGCATTGGAAGGGAAAATGATTTGGATAGCAAAAACCTTGGAGACACCCAAGAAGAACTGTGTAATATTACTGTGTACCAATAAGGGAGAATCAAGAGTAAATTCCATGAAACAGGATTAACTGAACATTATTTACTATGTTGAACAAGAACGGATTCTACTTCCACTACATTGATAATTCCATCCAAGATTCTAAAGTGAACTGTAAGAAAAAGTGCATCTGTATAAATGCACTGTCAACATATAGCTGCCTTGCAGAAGGCAATTCAAGGAATTATATGTGCTTATCATCTTGTTTAATTTGCGACATAGAGAAGCAAGTTCTGATAGGTATTACATTATAGTATGTAAATATTAATATACTGAGTGTTAGATTATAGAATGATATGCCCATTATAAATATAAGCAGTTACATATCTTACAATATTATTGTTATTCTCAGATCATTTGCCTTTACTAGTTGCATATGAATAGAAAGCTATACCTGAGATATATCTAGTGAGAATATAAATACCAATTTTTTATATGAACAAAGTAGGTACATATTTTTCAATGAGCTGCTCTGTGCAGAATAAGTTCTTGTTTGGCTGATTACTATTTTTGTTGGCCTTGATGTCAATATCTGTTTGTAGTCAATACATTAATCATTCCAATTCATAGAAATAAATCATCTTCATATGTGTTTTTGATGTTTTATTGAATATATTTTCTCTCGGAAACTTCTCCAAGTGCTTTATTTCTGATTGAAACCAAAAATTAACAATTCAATAATTCGTAAATGCCGCTTTTTTGATCCAATGGGATGTTTCCTTTGAATAAATGGGATCCGCAACACTGTTGCCAAATTGAACTCCACCAACTTCGTTCTATTTCGTATGAAATCGTATGACGATAGCGAAAGCATAACGAACTACATATAGAGTACCGGAAAGCGAAGTCGTATACTTCGCTTCGTTTCGCTTTCGCTACGCTTTCGCTATGCGATACAAGTTACAGAGTCCCACTGCTGGTCTGGTTCTGGTCACATTCAAAATGACTCAATTAACAAAGGACGTTACAGTCTGACTGAATTAAGCGCACTATCCCACAGAAAAGTGTTCTGTGCTTATGTGCACAGCTCACTATGAGCTGCAAATATGAAAAAGAAGAAGGAAATAACCCTAAACCTGTGCCTAAGGGACCTGAAAATTTTAGGTTATTGTTATAGAATTTTTCGATTTAAAGAATGATCTAATAATATAAAAACACAGGAAACTAATTTCTCATTATGTTACAAAAAATCGGATCTTCTTTATTTTATCCGTGTACTCGTTTTTCCAGGCTGCATTCTGCAGCTTCGAATTTGAGTGATAATGTAAAAAGTGTTATGGAACCAAGAACTATCATGTATCCCCCAAAATATCAAAAACTCAGCCAAGTGTGGCTCGAGAATCTTGATACAATTGACGAGAAGAAATTGGGCTTGCTTGAACTGCACCCAACAGTGTTTGCTACAAATCCAAGAATTGACTTGATTCATCAAAATGCCAGGTGGCAGACTTTATACAGATATGTTAGTTATGCACACACTAAAATGCGATTTGAAGTTGCAGGAGGTGGTAGAAAACCATGGCCACAAAAAGGTACTTCATTATTTATTAAGAGAATTCAAATTCTTTATTGGTACCTAAGTACTTCTTTTTTTTTTAAGGATTGGGTAGAGCTAGACATGGTTCAATAAGAAGCCCCCTTTTTAAAGGTGGTGGTGTCATTCATGGTCCCAGATCTCCTACACCCCATTTTTATATGCTCCCTTTCTATACCCGAATTCTGGGACTGACAAGCACCCTATCAGTAAAATTTGCCCAAGATGATTTACATGTAGTTGAGAATTTAGAGATTCCAACTGAAGAACCCAGTTACTTAGAGGAGTTGGTAAAAAGTCGTAATTGGGGCCCTTCAGTGCTTTTTGTTAATGTGTGAGTATTTCATGTTTTTCTATCCACTGTTCACACCTTATGTCCAGTGGGTCTATGATGGTCTATGATATCTAGAGAAACTGGGACCTAATATCAAAAAAAAAAATTCAAAGCAGGCAAAAATTGTTAATTTTTAAGGTCAAGTCCCTTACATTACAAGTTTGAAATGATAATTTAATTATAATTAAATAACAGCAAAATTATTTAAAGCAGGTAGGTATCAATTGTTAATTTTTATGGTCAAGTCCCTTATACATTTGAAAGTTTGAAATGATAATTCAATTATAATTGTCATAATTGTCTCTTGACTATGACTTTGGTCTTGGAATCTGGTAAATTTTCAATTACCAATGAATGAACATGAGGTGTGAGTATCCAACTTGATAGTTGATACAGCAAATGTCTTCAAATGTGTTCATGAAAATGTAAAATCAGTATTTGCAAATGTTTATCAGCCATCTCAACCACCTTGTACCTCCACTTATTATCATCTGCAATCTGATTAAAGCCATCTGCCAACAGCTTCCACTCTTGTTTTTATCATGTCCTGAATTTTACAGAAATGACCCTGCACATTTTGTAGGGTAAATGGCTTTCAGCTAATATTTCTGAAAATTTGGAACATTTTATATATTGGTGAACCCATTACCAGTGTGAAAATAGAAATGGTTGCTATATAGAAAACAAAATAATAGTATATGGTCACAGGTGTAAAATGTTATTCACATTGATTCTTCAGCTTTAACATCCACATTTGGACTGAAACCATTGCAGTTCAAATGTTTTGGGTTAATATGATGATTAATATGATGAGTAGTGTGCTACTACCCCCATTTGTATGTCTCACTTCTAATGGAAACACCCCTGTATCTTATTTCCGGAAAATGATAAATCACTTTGGATTTGGAATCAGGGCGCCCTAATCACAAACTTTTCATATTCTTCCTGAAAATTTTTCAGTTCGGAAAAATTTAATTGTTGTCTCACTGTTTATGAAAACCTTCAAAATCCAAATCAATACAGAGATTTATTTTCAATAGTAATAGTATAATATATACAGAGTGGGCCTTTGAAAACGAAACAGAGGCTCTGTAGGTCGCCAAAACCGGATTATCAAAAAAAACTGAAACAGGTCAACTACATTTTCGAGGGGGACATCTTTCTAAAATATTTTCAGCCCTGCGGCGTTGCCGCTTCTAAAGAAAAGAAGCAACAACTTTGTTATTTCAAATGGAACACCTTGTATTTTATTGCATTTTTAGATTCTCCCCGAAGAGCTGATTTCATCAATGCATCACACTTAGGGTCTAGCTGTAATGATTTCAGGGATATAAAGTGTTCAAAATCGAGATTTTTCAACTTTAACATTTTTTTGTGTCGAAACTATTCATTATTGGTCAAAACGGCTCTCATGTCCCGATCTCAACTTGTGATTTACTATCTACTGACATTTATTTGAAACAAATACAGGGTGGTTCAAGATTCAGAATTCTGATCACCCTGTATCTGTTCCAATTAAATGTCGGTAGATAGTAAATCACAAGTTGAGATAGGGACATGAGAGCCGTTTCGACCAATAATGAATAGTTTCGACACAAAAAAATGTCAAAGTTGAAAAATCTCGATTTTGAACACTTTATATCCCTGAAACCATTACAGCTAGACCCCAACGTGATGCATTGATGAAATCAGCTCTTCGGGGAGAATCTAAAAATGCAATGAAATACAAGGTGTTCTATTTGAAATAACAAAGTTGTTGCTTCTTTTCGTTAGCAGCGGCAACGCCGCAGGGCTGAAAATATTGTAGGACGATGTCCCCCTCGAAAACGTAGTTGACATGTTTCAGATTCTTTTCATAATCCGGTTTTGGCGACCTACAGAGCCTCTGTTTCGTTTTCAAAGGCCCACTCTGTATATTTGAAATTGATAGAGAAAACATACCTACCCTGTTTCAGAATTTGTATCTCAAAATTCACCATGGAAACTACCCCGAATAGCTGAAAATTATGTGAAATCATCTTTTCTGGAAATGTCTTCCTCATAATGTATTCTTAATGAACAGAGAAAACATTCCTACCCAGGGTGGGTTTGAAAAACCAGAAGCCCAGAGATACACAGGGGATCTGAAAGCTAGCCTATGGAGTCTCATAGAGAAGACGGGGCTAGCCGAAGAACTCTAATCGATTTTGAGGGCAGACACAATAGATCTGAAAAGGTCGCGGTGTGGAGGCAGATAGCCCGAAGGCCCCATTCTAAATCTAATCTAATCAGGGTGGGTTCTGAGATACAAATTCTGAAACAGGGTAGGTATGTTTTCTCTGTTCATTTTGAATATAGTGTGAGAAAGAAATTTCCAGAAACAATAATTTCACATGAATTTGTAGATTTTCAGCTATTCGGGAGTGGTTACCAGGGTGAATTTCGAGATACAAATTCTGAAACCGGGTAGGTACGTTTTCTCTGTTCCTTTTGAATATACTGTGAAAAGAAAATTTCCAGAAACGATGATTTTACATCATGTTTCTAGGGTGAGTTGAGTAGAGTAAGCATCGGGGGGGGGGGGGACTTGTCGAAGTCCAGACAGCTAGACCGCTAGTGTGGGTCCATTGTGTCGCCCTGTGAGTATGGCATCATTCACAAGAGTCCCGCAGCTCTGCCGAAGGCCAGGATGTCGGTAGCCGGGATGTTTGGTGCTTCTTCCGCTGGAAGAGTCGTTTGTCCGAAACTCCGCCTTCTGTGTTAGTGCAGGACATTCACATATGATGTGGATTGGAGTTTCGTCGTTAAGACATAAACGGCACGTTGGGTCATCGGAGATGCCCAGAATGTTTAGATGTCTGTTAAGGCGGCAGTGTCCAGTTAGTAAACCAGTGACAACTCTGCATTGGCTTCTTCGCATATTCAGGAGGGATTGGGTGAGACGTATCGAAGGCCTATCAATGAAGGTCTTCGCCTTCTAGGGTGAGTTTAGAGATACAAATTCTGAAACAGTGTAGGTACACTTTCTTTATTCATTTTAAATATACTATTGAAAATGAATTTCCAGAGACGATGAACTAATTTGGTTTCAAAGATTTTCATCGGGGATATAGTAGCACCCTATTTGTTTGTATACCTCAATTCGTCATTATAATCATCATATTAACGAAATCCATTTGGATTGCAATGGTTTCATTCCAAATCTGAAAGTTAAAACGGAAGAATCGATGTGAAAAACATTTTACACCTGTGCGCATATACTATTATTTCGTTTCTGATACGAGACCGTTTTCATTTTCACACCGGTAAACCCATTATACATTCCAATTCACAGATGGATCCTATAATCAGTTTTTGAGCTACAGGGTGACAAACATTTGATTCTAGCTGTTTATAATAAATATTTTGCATTCCTTTGATTCTTGTGACCTTTAGCTGCCTGAGAAACAAACTTTTCACATCTAAATTCATCCTCATAATTCTAATAAATACATAAAAACTTATAAAAACCATGCTAATGGCTAGTTTTATATATTCTATTTCAGGGAGGATATAATGCCCAGAAATATTACAGTTGCTACAGATGTTTTCAAGCATTTCAATCTGATGCCTGTTTATGGTTTGAATGTTTACTCAATGTTAAAACATGATACTCTTGTTTTAACGAGGGCTGCTGTGGATCATATAGAAAATAAAATCATGCAGCATTTGCATAAGAACGATACAAGAAGTGTAATGGCAAAGTATAAAGTTGATCAAGCTTGATTTGTTATATTGAGAAGATTAAGAATCAATAAAAGTAGACTTAAGTGAAGTTTTGTATCAATACTCACAAATTTGTATGTAAAAAATGTCTCGTCATTTTCTGATCAATATAGCTTCTGGAAAATTTTCGATGTTTCCATGCCAAAATTTTATTATTTTCAGGAATGAAACCGTTTAATAATTGTTTGTCTGCAATTATTATTCTTAATTTTTTTAATTTTAGTGATAATTGGTAATTTGAGGAAACCTTCTGGATTAATTGGAACAGTGGAAAGATTAGCAGTAAAAAATGCACTCATGCAAGTTTTTTTTATAATACAACATAATATATTAGGAGCTATTAAAGCTCTTGTTCAGCTGTTGGTGTGAAAGTTCAAAACAATTTGAATTCCAGGTGGAAATGACCAAATGTTGAATTCTCAATTCTAGCTTTATGAGTTATAGAAAAATTATACAGTTCGTATCAGCCGACTGGAATAAATTCGATAATGAATAAACGGGGACGTATTCGAAAAAACGCTCGGACACGTCGACTGGTATTTTCAGATGCCCATCCTTTCCAACAAAAACTTTATAAACAGGGCGCGTCATGTAATATCGGCAAATACCAACTTTCTTCTTTCAGAGCAACACCCTGTATTTCATTCAATTTTTGGATTCTTCAGAAAATTTTAGACATATTCCATGTACAATACTCGATGGGTATCTTCCAGTTGTGTCCCTGTGATATCTCCATAACCATGGCCATATTAACAGAGGAAAGCCGAGGTGAGCCCATCAGTATGGCAACACTGTTCAAAAGTTTTACCTCCAGAGCCATTCGCACGATATATGTCTGGATGTAACAGAGTGATTATTTATATTTTTAAGAGTAATTTGATGTGTTATCAATGTGAAATATTGTTGAAAGCCAGTGAAAAGTGTAATGAAAATTCGTCGGTATTGAAATGCAGGTCCACAGTGAGTTTTACTAGGTGACGATAAGTTAGGATTCAATAATTTAAAATGGAATCTTATATGAAATTGAGTAGGTATGGTCACAATAACTTCAGAATATTCGGAATATTCTATCAAGATACAGAAACAGCTCAGATCACACAGAGAATAATCAGACCGAAGAACATAAAATTATAGATCAATTGAAACAAGTACACATTAAAAAAATAGACATTCTTCTACAATAATTATGTCTTTTATGTTATACAACACTTCTCATTCTGTGTATGAACTCATTAGGATTTTTTCCATTTTACCTATCAGACGATACCTATTCGCAACAACTGTCTTTCAACTTAAATATTTCTCCAAGCAATAACTTGGAATGGTTGGTATAAAATGGGACTTGCCAGTTGTTTATTTCATCCAAGAATCTGAATAAAACCTGAACTGCGACCTGACCCATTATTTCTTGATTTTTTTTTTCATTAAAGTTCAATTATTTATTTCAAAGACAGAAATTAATATTACGTTATTAGCGGTAACCAAGGTGGTAACCGTAGCATTGTACCAGTCTATAGCAGTCCATCCGGATCACGGCGATGCGGTGTTGCATTTCTCTCACCGCGACTTGTTATAGAGCCGGCTGTGCCATAACTGATAACCAATCACAGGGGCGGACCCAGACGATGTTTGAGGGGGGGGGCATAGAAAGTCACAGCTCAATAAGGTTAGCGCGGAAGAGAAATTATATGAGACAAATGCTTTTTCATTAGAAAAACTGATCATAATAAACATCAAAATTATTGGTGTAAAAAATTTCCCATCAATGTATGTAGAATTCTGTAATAAATCATATTGGATAAAAGAAGTGAATGAAAACATATTTCTGTTGAAAAACTTGGGTACAAAAGTGAATGAAAATATTTCTCTTCAAAAATAAGACAAAAATAAAAATATATAAAATAAAGAAAACAAATTCCAGTCTTCTATTCTTCTAGCTTATCTTTGGATGATATCATCAACATTCAGACTGCAGATGCCCCTGTGAATATGCATTAATGCCAATCCATTTATCCAGTCTTGGACCATTCTGGATCTTATCCAATTTTTCAGCCTTCTGAGTGTTGAAAAACTTCTTTCAGAAGATGCAACACTTACAGGTAGGCAACAAAATAGTTCCAGAAGGATGTTTATGTTAGGAAACAAATGTTTGTTACATTCCTTCAGGGCAGTTATACCATTGTTTGGTATATTTTGCTTAGTATCCCTCATTTTCTGCCATATATACATTTCAGAAACGATCTCCTGGAAGGACATTTCATCATTCTCCCCAAAACTGTTCAAGTATATTTCCCATAACTCATGAATTTCCTCATCTGTTTTGTTTTTAGTTATTGAGATGGCACACAAAGGTGAAGGTTGTGTAGATTCAATTCATTTTCTGATATTCAACAACAACTACAAAAACAATAAGAATACTGGAATGAAAACAGTTATTCTCTAATCGTCATCCACTGAGGAAACCGTATTTGGTCTATGAACCATTCTCCTTGTTATTCTCCACAACTAAAATTCAACATTCAGTTCTTTCAATTTCTGTTTGGCTGCATTCGAAATACTCAGATAGTAGGTATTCAGAATATCATCCCTTTTATCTGGAAGCGTCTGAAGAGTGATACTAACAACATCGTTAGCTTGTTTTTTGTTTGGAGCAAATTACTAAGTGGCAGTGTTATCGAAAATATATTTGCCAAACAGTAGAGTGTAATTACAAATTCGCAATTCCGTAAAGCTGTTGCGAAGTTCCTAGCTATGAAGACATGCACTAATTTTTTCATTTATTCAAAATACCTACACTTTTACATGTCCATGAGGTGCTCGAGGGGGGGGGGGCATGGCCCCATGGCCCCCCCCCCTGGATCCGACCCTGACCAATCATCTATAGAATTGTAACTTTCTGTATTCCTATTACAGTCAACGAAATTCGAACGACTATACCATTGATAACCACCAGTGGCAGATTATAGGCGAGGCGCATGAGGCGTGACCAGGGGACGCCAAATCAAGCGCAAGTTCCTCAGTTCAATTTCACCCTCTCGTGCATAATTTAATTTAAAAAATTCAAAATGATTTTGAAAATCATAAAACGATTCATAGTAGTATTTTAATGAATTGACAATATGAAATATTGACCAAACTTCTTGATTTTTCTCAAAAAAACCAACAAACTAAATGTCCACTCTAGTGGTGGACGTTATGCATTTTCCATCTTGATAATAATTAATCTCCGACTGGTATGAAAATAATCGAAACAATCAGGACAGTAAGTTTATCATACATTTAACATATACAGGGTGAGTCGTGATATTAACTAACCATAGCCTAAATGGCGGATAGATGAGGAAGTCGCGGTGAGTTGATATATACATATATGTGAAGAAATGTATTTTGCCCCTTCGTAACCGGGCATTTTGATGAACAATATTTGGAGAACTTCTATATTTATCGCAAAAAAATTCTAGAGCCGGAATTGGAAAACAAAAAAAAAGAATTCAACTTTGACAGTCTGTACGTCAGAAACGAATAACTTTCGGACATATATTTATACAAACTTTTATTTTGACGTCAGCAACATGCTCCTAAATTTTCTAAACGTATTTAAGAAACACCCTGTATATGGTTGATGAATATGTTCGAAATGTTCTCACCTGACCCCCTTTCAGATATACGTCGATGAACCAAACACCCTGTATATGTAATTGAAAAGTACTACTTTCTCAAAGGAAAATCGTCCGGAAAGTGGGTATTTATTCCGAAACGGTTGCTAAAAAGGGACTTATAGGAAATAATACCAGATATGCTGTTTCCTAATCATTTTATTTAATAGGCTCTATGTGCTTTCAATAAAATAAGGTGGCTATGTACAAGAACTTACTAAAATGAAACAAAAAAAAAAACTAACAATAAATACAACAAAAAAAGATGTTTAGCTGATGAAAAAATAATATACAATTTACTATACAATGGAACACATTAAACTTCTCCACTTATTAAATTAGTCCTAACATTCAATATCCATTCTCGAATGACAATAAAAGTGGTGGTGATATTCACGAATAAATTAATGGTTTCTACAAAAGACAGAAACCTGCAAGATATTTTAAATATTAAAACATTTGCAGCCCTAGTAAATTTCTATCCTGTGTAGTTAATAGGCTAAGCTCATTAAGAATCTGTTGCTTATCTGTTAGATCATGCCATGAAAATGTGTGTACAGATTTCATCACAGATATTTCAAATTTTTTGGCAATTTTTCTATCTTCCCTCCTTCTGAACCCTGCATCTTGGACAGACTTAGTCTGCTTTCTCTTACTTCTGAACCTCGTTTCGATTACATTAGGACTGTTTTAAGCGCTAGCATTCACAAGGGAAGAGTTGAATTGGTGGCTATTTTCATATAACATCTGAAACAAAAATGAAATTATTACAATTAAATAAGACGTGCGTCAGAGAACTTGTTGATGTCTCAGTTATGATATAAAATGGGTCCTTGATATGATTGGTAAATCGGAAATTGGTAAATTGGTGACCATTTACTATTAGTGGAGTAAGTAGAAAACAATTATTAAGTACGTGTTTCCTTATAGTCAAAATGAGAATCCCTTTACTTTGAAATATCTTTATCAATGTCAACTGAGTAAACATGTACTTAATTTGAAAAAAAAAAATATGCATATAAATTGCTACTTATTTGTCGTCTCTGTCACAACAGACTGGAAATTTCATTCAATGTTCTTATATGTGTGCTTATATTAGCACAATAAGATAAGAATTGGAAACGTCAGATAGGAATTTCCAAAAACAACACTCATGGAAATTTAGTAGAGAAAAGAAATATTGAGTCAACAATGAATTGCTTAAAATACACCTCCTGTAACTCTGGTGCGGAAATATCAAAATCTGGGTGTTTATTGACCTTGTGCAAAAATTCATGGGGTTGTTCCTTGGACTATTTTAGAAATATTTCGTCCTTTGATGATTTTTGAAAATCTGGTATGTTTAGATGATACAGGGACTACAGGTTGAACAAAATTTGAACCAGTAATTTTATCTCGAAGTTTTTTGAGTTAAATTTCATAATCCCAAAAAAACTCGAATTATAAATTTCTAGTTTGTTTCGACCAAAAATGTAATTCAGTAACACAATTGAATGGATACGTAGATCACATAATTGTTGATGGTTATTTCTCCACTTGAAGACTCCAAATAGCGACATTTCCACAGATTAGATACTTTTCTGACTATGCAAGATTCAGAAAAATTAACATAACCATCAAGATTTGTCATGGTTTTTTGTCGATGGAAAACTTAAGGCAAAGCAGACCACAAAAAAATCTCTATCTCTATATCAGCCGCTGACCTACTTAATTTGAAGAATTCGGACAAACCACAAAGGACTGAAACGGCAAAAGCACCTATTTCATCGTATCATCCACAAATTTACTCATTTTTTACGGAAATATAATTGTTTTGACTTTTTGTACTATAAAGTCTTTATGTTTTCAATTTTGCTCAAACCAAGATTCACATGGTTCTCTCCAGGGGCCACTCTCTACATTTTCCATTCAAAAAGTAGTGCAGCGTGATGCATTTGTGAGAGACACTTATAGAGTATAATATCTGTCTTTCACATATGAGAGACCAAGCACCCTGGGAAAGTTCAATGTCGCTCATGTATGAAGGACATGGCACGCAATTTGTTAAACACAACTACTTCTCATATAAAACACATGCAAACTTATATAAACAAAGCATTCGTTATATTATAAAACAGTAGAGGGAGTATTCCTTAGCAAGATTCGCCTATATTCATCAGTTACAATAGTAGCCGCGATAAAAAAATAGAAAGCCCTTTACACACCTCATCCCCGCTATCGCTCTCGTCGCTGTCCTCCTCGCTCTCGTCCTCGCTGCCCGCCGGCGAGGGCGCGCCGCGTGCCCTCAACTCCCGCCCAATCCGCGCCGGCAGCTGCCCACGGCCCTCGACGTCGAGCGGTCGCCGCCCCGCGTACGAGACTGCCCGCGCGTCCGCGTCCTCGCGCGCCAACAGCGCTCGCACCAGCGGCTCGTCGCGCCGCCCCACGCCGTAGTGGAGCGCCGTGTAGCCGGTGGTGCCCTCGCGGGCGTTCACGTCAGCGCCGTAGCGCAACAGGTGGGCGAGCACGTCGGCGTGGCCGAGCATCGCGGCCACGTGGACGCAGGTTTGACCTGGAAGAAGAGAGGAAGTGAGTGAGATGAGTACGAACAGTATAACTACTAGTTGAAATTATTTATTTATTTTACTTATTTCTTCTGGGTTCGGCAGTGTCATATTTGTGAAGGAAAATTAGTTACAGATATCTTAACCACAGAACTATAACCCAGAGTAGAATTGGAATTAGTCCCCAAATTAATTAGAAAAAACGTTGTTGATGTAAGGTTGTAGCAATTACTGAAACGGACGTTCAGCAATATTGCAAATGTAAATTTGTAAATGTAACGTTCCAGCAATGTCACAGCAACATGTAATATTGCTACAACGTTTCATTAACAAACGTCACCTTTGCAATATTGCTGAACGTCCATAACTGCTTCAACATTGCACATAGCTTTCAACTTTGTTTAGTGGTGTGTTTCTGCACCCAGCCACTCAAAATGTTTGGTTTCCTTCAAACTCTCATATGTAACAGAGGTGAATATAAATAACCTGACCTGAGATACAACTGGATGGACAGTAAGATGGAACTTGTTTTTCTTTGGTAAGTAGCCTATTTTGCTTATTTAAAATTCGCTTCAGCGTGTTTAAATCTAACGTTAAAAAACAAGCGATTTTCAAAGTTACCATAGAACATCAACGACCCGAAAAACGTATAGTATAAATAGTGGAAGAGTCGGCTGCAAATTTTGACCGTCATCTGATAACGAATAGGCAAAAACATTGTATTTTATCGAACGGCATTAAATTTCGAGGTTCGATAACGAGATAAGAATTTTATGCCATTTGAACTTCGAATTTTAGCATTATAAAAGTTTTTAGATGGTGAAAATGGGAAAAGCCAAATAATATTCCTAACGTCAATACCCTGAATCTGGGAAACTGAGCACCAAAACTTACACGTTCATATATATATAAACTTTGCTTTTTTAAAAATAAAATCAGAAACACAATGTTTATTAATTAAAATTTTGCATAAAATCAGGTTATTGATGGGTTCTAATCAACACTCTTGAATACGATTTTGAATAAACAACGGATTTTGAATATTTGTTTCCCAATTTAGATAATATAACTGGATTAACTATGGACTGTTATTTACACATTACATAACATTGCAAGTGACATTGACTATAGACATTTATTGGATTGTGCTTGTACGAGTTACATACACAATAAGTACTCACTATTTTTTTTGAAATCACTATCAATATTTTATTTTCTGTCTAAAATGTATATTATACGTATATTAAAAACCGGTAGAAACCGATTTTATCAAACTTTTTCCCGGATCGTTCATCTAGCCTCGCTACGCTCGGCTATGAACTATCAGCCGCGGCAGTCATTCCACTACTTTTCTGCCTAGTAAAACAAATAACTAATTGATTAGTTGTATTCTGGGGTCAAAAATTTGTCCCGAGAAAGTAGGCATCCTCGTTTGAGTGATTTCAGAAAAATGTCAGAATATATTAGACGATGAGAACGAATAACATGGTTGTGTAATCAATCATAGTATAAGTGCGCAACTTTCTTTTGTTATCCACAGCGAGCAGAGCTATCTCTTTCGTAGAGGAATTCCTTCAAAGTGAAATTTGGCGAAATTCCCCAGAAATTCGATGACATTTAGGTGCGTGTCTGTACGAAATGAAAGAAGTCGGGGCAGAACGCACAATTTATGCAAATTATTTCATGAATGGTTAAGCGGGAACTTTGACTTTCTTTTTTATTTGCAATGCTTTAAAACTGGTTGTGACATCATACATCACAATCACACTCATCAACGGTCGTTAACTTTTTTACTTCTGATTTATATACCTATATATTATATGTATGCATATGATTGTTTAATTGTGAAATATAGCACCTACACATTCTGACGAGTATCATATTCAAATGTGCGTTTTATTGCTTCTGCAATAGTCCATAGAAATCATGTTAATCAATACAGTTTCATTAATTGAGGTCTGATAGTCCCATGGAAATATTTGTGTTTTTACCTCCAAGAAAATGATATTTCAATCTAGTCATGGTTTTGTAAAATCCCTTATAATGGTAAAGTTCTCAATATTAAGAAATTCAATTATTATTATTAATACTAAACGCAATCATCATCGTTTATGTAGTAATAAGTGCCTACGTATACCTATCTATTATTGTTAATGACAATTACAATTACTGTAATTAATTTTATGAACTTTATCACGCGAAACGACCTAGGAGGTGACGTTATTTTATATTGTACTGACATTACTTCTTACGTATTGAACAATGTTTTGTAAACACATAAAATCAAATTCCAAATTGGAATAAAAATTATATGGATCAGCAGTATACAGCATGTCTCATTTCAAACGCCCCCCTCTAACAATATAATGATCAGAGTTTCAGAGACGATCTCATTTTAGGCAGTGTCGAGCGATTTTATTGAAATGAAAAGACCCGTGAAAAGTAACGATAAGAGTATACTAGGATTGTTTTTACAGGAAAATTCAAGTTCAAATTTGGTTGGAATCACATGATGACCAACTAATAACTGAGATATAGAGGGGGGGAATCAAGGTGAGATGCACTGTAGATAGAAGAACAAATTTCAAATAAAAAATTCAATAAAGATATGCATATACCTATGTATTCTTCCAAGCTAAACAAATATAATTGATAATATCCAAATACCCACCATGTTTCTGTAAGAAATATTTCAAAGGTATAGGTACATGATACCAGGAAATTATTAATTTTGATCAACAGGCTCGCAAAAAGGTATAACTAGGAAGGTTGCATTGTTAGGCTGTGTATTAGCTACCATCGGAACTAGTTACGCAAGGCAACCTATATCATCCCGAGTTGCGAGGCATCCAGCAACATTGCTATTTATAGGCAACACTTTCGGTTTCTAGAATAAAATAGAAGCATAATGAAGCTTAAAAGTGAGCTTTTGATATTATAAAGATGAATTGAAGGCGGTTGCAGAGAAAATTACATTATGTAATACTTGTTTCTATGGTCAAGTTGCATTTTATTGATGTGATGATCGTGTCTTTAATCTGAATGGGACTTGTTAAAAATGGCAATGACGCTGTATGACGCGCCAAATTACCGAAAAAGGCTGCCGTTGGCATTTATGTTCCCATCATGCGGTCTCTGGTAAAACTTGGAACTGCTGCGCTTGCGTTCTCTCGAAGGAATTTCGGAATTCCCCCATTGGGAAATTTCTGTTTGTGCCGACACAAAACAACGCCACAGATTACTAAAAACGCCGAATACGTCAAATCAAAATTAGCGACGGCGTAAGATCAACAAGCGAAACCTCGTGATGTAGTGGGCGTTTTGCACTCAGTCGTCTATTTTGATTTTGGCACAATGTTCAATATTTTCTTTTCGGTGACATGTTTTCACCAAGTAGATAGGTAATACAATTAGACTGTCTTTCTTTGTCTATTATACGCTTTCATTGTTCATCATTGGTTAATTCAGACATTGGAAAGAAAATTAGAAATCTCGATCTTGAAATATTCAGGAACAATGTCTCTAACAATACTACAGCTAGGTAGGTCCTACTAGAATAATAGGTCTTCAGAAATGTGTGTATTTGTTTGTAAGGAAAATTCAACAAAAATTCCAAATGTCAGAAAGCTAGTCAGAAATCTTGTGATGCTGATACTACACAATGATCATTACCAAATAATCATTAAAGTAATTGCAGAAATACGTAGGATTGAGGTACCTACTTGAATGATGATTATATTTCAAACATTTTTACCTAGAAGTGAGTTAAGTAATGGGATTATTGAACCTCTCGAAGTTAACAACCAATATTACTGGGCGAAAGGTAAATCATTAGAAGGCGCCAAGAGTTGTATAGGGGTAGGTATATACCTATGCCTAATACCAGTAACACCTATACCTCTCGTATCCTCTATCCTATTCATATTCTATATTTTTGAAATGATTGAAATACATACAATATTCTTCACGTATTTGAGGAATAATGCAAAAGCAAATACTGAAATTTCCAAAATTTACCTATACGAAATAACTTATTTGCATGAAAAAATCAAATGGTATCTGTATACCTATTCAGTCATTAAATTATCCATAATAGGTACTAATAAAGGAACACAGATAGTTTCCTTGAGGATTGAATCACACTGTATGATACATTCACATTTTTTTCTAGGACCTTGATTCCAACTTAACAACAAATCGCTCGGGCGGATTTTGTCTATAATTAATGTTGGATTTTCCTAATTCCACTACATATTTTTGCGGTGAGAAACTGCCGCTTGAGAACGAGCGGCCATTCTCAAATGCACTTCTATAAATATAATACGCAGATATTAGAGAATATACGAGTTATGTTCCTTTTTGAATGCCTGGAGAAACATAACTTTGGGAAAACCAGACGCGTCTGGCAACTAGCGACGAGATTCCGCATAGTTTCGACTACAAGCAGCGTTGCCATACAATTTTTAGTTATCAAAACTACGGTTGAAAATGAAATATATCTATTTTTACGGCTATAACGAGGGCTATAACACACAATTGCTCTTGTTTTACTGGTGTTCGATAAATCAATTAATGAGGTACTTTGTATCTCATCAATTTCATTTTCGTATCTGATATCACAATAATGACTTCATTGTGTTATTTAACAAAATCTCATATCCCATGAAATGTCAAATTGACAGTTCTGACTAATGGATGAGCATTACTTAAGAGAAAAACAGATGGCAACAAGCCGAAGAAATCAAAAATTTCGCTGTTATCTGTTACAGCCGTAGAAGAATTATAGTACATAACTCGCACAGAATTCTAATTGAATGACTATCATTCCGTGCTCGTTGAACAATATACTATTTTGATGTTAATTTTGAGTAACTACAAAGATTTCTTCAGGTTGATTCAGTTCAGAAAAGAAAATGTCATCAGAATGTTTTGATTGACCGCCAGATCGCGCCATTGATAAAATACGTTTCTGTTCACATTTACTTCAGGATATCTTCTTCGATGTCAA